GCTTGAGCCACAGGCGCCAAGCCAGGGGAAGTGTGATTTTTAAAATGGCCGTGTATTTTAACTTTTTATTATGGAAAATTTCAAAAACAAAAGTAAAGACTATAATGAATTCCCTCCTCATCTGGCTTCAAAAACAGTCAAATCGTGTTCTGCCTTGTTTCATCTGTACCTATCCTTATATCTGTTTTTTTTTTTTTTTTTTGAGTCTTTTGCCCCAGGCTAGAGTGCCATGGCTTTAGTTTTTTTTCACAGTATCCTCAACCAATCCTGTCTCAGCCTCCAGTGTAGCAGAGGCTACTGGTGCCTGTAAAGATACTGGGCTAATTTTTCAGACGGGGTCTTGCTCTAGCTTAGGCTGCTCTCCAACTCCAGGTCTTAATTGATCCTTCTGTCTTAGCTTCCAAGAGTGCTGAGATTACAGGTGTGAGCCACTGTGCCCAGCCTTGAAATGTTTTTATGTTAATTTTCTTTAGAAACAAATTAAGATAAAGATACTTTCATAATGCCTCTTCATTACATTATTTATAGTTCCTTCCTGTCGGAGCCTGTACTTTTTTTTTTTTTTTTAGGAGACAGTCTCACTTTGTTGCCCTTGGTAGAGTGCTCTGGCATCACAGCAACCTCTGACTCTTGGGTTTAATGATTCTCATGCTTCAGCCTCCAAGTAGCTGGAACTACAGGCGCCCGCCACAACGCCAGCTATTTTTTCGTTGCAGTTGTCATTGTTTGGTAGGCTGGGGCTGGATTAGAACCCGCCAGCTCCCATGTATGTGCCTGGCACCCTAGCTGCTGAGCTACAGGTGCCCAGCGAAGAGCCTGTACGTTCTTGTGGGTTATAAATGATGCTGCTGGTTATACTATTTATTAAATTGTTAGTTTTCATTAGTTTGATTAGTGAAGATTTGATTATGGTGTGCAAATATAAATTTGCAGCAACTTGTATGTATCTTCATAATTAGGTCATACCTAAATCTGTTTATATCACTTATTTTATAAGAAAAAGTGTTAAGAATAAGTAAAATAATACATTTCAAATACTAAAGTATTTGCATATGTTGTAAATTATCTTTGTAGCCACTATGCACTTTGCTCTGTTCCCTCACCATGTAGTACTTTTGGAGTTACAGACTAAAGCTTGTCCCTTACGATATCTTCTGATTCTCTTCGTTTATTTATTTTTGCTAGTTTTAGTTATTTCAGGCTTTCAGGATCGCTAGTTTGGAAGCTTCTGACTCCTCTCTTCCCCCAGTTAACCTGAAAAGACTCAATCTTTGCCTTTATTCTTTTTTTTCTTTTTTTTTTTTTTTTTTGAGACAGAGCCTCAAGCTGTCACCCTGGGTAGAGTCCTGTGGCATCACAGCTCACAGCAACCTCCAACTCCTGGGCTCAAGCGATTCTCCTGCCTCAGCCTCCCGATAGCTGGGACTACAGATGCCTGCCACAATGCCCGGCTATTTTTTGTTGCAGTTTGGCAGGGGCCGGGTTTGAACCCACTACACTTGGTATATGTGGCCAGTGCCCTACCCACTGAGCCACAGTGTAGCTGGGACTACAGGCGCCCGCCACAATGCCTGGCTATTTTTTGGTTACAGCCGTCCTTGTTGTTTTGGCGGGCCCAGGTTGGATTCAAACCCGCCACCTTAGGTGTATGTGGCTGGCACCTTAGCCCCTTGAGCCATAGGCGCCGAGCCAAACCTTCCTTTATTCAGGATGGAGAGATTATCTAGCTCTGTCAGGCTCAGGGAACTGAATGAGAAAAGAGGGACTAGGTAGGGTTGTTGGCCAGTGTTAAGGTGAGGGATTGGAAAGAGCCAAGAATGGCACATAAGGCTACCAACGTGTGGGGCAATAAAAATAATGATATTAACACTAATAAAAATAGCATGTTTTAGTATATAAGATCTGACCATTAAGTTTGTGAACTTAGGAAAGTGCTACCTACTTTATTGCTGAATGTCAGTATGGTCACCTTTGAAGTACTACCCTTGCCCAACTGTGATATTCAGCAATGAGGTATCTAATATTTTTTTCTAGGATGAGTTCACAAACTTAATTGTCTGACTTCATATACACAAGATAGAATACTTAGAATTAGTATTGCAGACACTAGTTGATAAGCCTTTGTTAAAGTTTATGTTACAGTTGTTTACTTTTCTTATAGTAAGTTTGTATTACTTATTCCTGCTAGATTGTGAGCTCTTTGAAGGCTAAAGTCAGCTGTCATTTTTTCTTTTGAGATAGAGTCTCACTATGTTGCTCTGGGTAGAGTGTCACAGCTCACAGCAACTTCAAACTCTTAGGCTCAAGCGATTCTCTTGCCTCAGCCTCCCAAGTAGCTGGGACTATATGCACCCACCACAAGGGCGGCTATTTTTTGGTTGTAGTCGTCGTCGTTTGGCAGGCCAGGGCTGGATTCAAACCTGCCAGCTTCGGTATATGTGGCTGGCACCCTAGCCACTGAGCTACAGGCGCCGAGGCTTAGCTGTCTTTTAAATGTCTTTTGTTGACTTGGCGCCTACAGCTCAAGTGGCCAAGGCGCCAACCACGTACACTGGAGCTGGCAGATTCAAATCCAGCCTGGGCCCGCCAAACAACAATGATGGCTGCAACCAAAAAATAGCTGGGCATTGTGGCAGGTACCTGTAGTCCCAGCTACTTGGGAGATTGAGGCAAGAGAATTGTTTAAGCCCAGGAGTTGGAGGTTGCTGTGAGCTGTGATGCCACAGTACTCTACCCAGGGCGACAGCTTGAGGCTCTGTCTCAAAAATAAATAAATATATGTCTTTTGTCTATAGTGGGTTAGCATAGTGCCTTGCAGAATAGCCTTAAGTGTTTGCTGGCTCGGCGCCTGTGCCTCAAGCCGCTAAGGCGCCAGCCACATTCACCTGAGCTGGCCTGTTCAAATCCAGCTCAGCCTGCCAAACAATGATGGCTGTAATCAAAAAATTAGCCAGGCATTGTGGCAGGCGCCTGTAGTCCCAGCTACTGGGGAGGTGGAGGCAGGAGAATGGCTTTAGCCCCAGGAGTTGGAGGTTGCTGTGAGCTGTGATGCTACAGCACTCTACCCAGGGGGACAGCTTGAGGCTCTGTCTCAAAAAAAAAAAAAAAAAGTGTTTATTTTTGAGACAGTTTCTTTCTCTATGTCACCATGTGGCTGGTACTCTAACCACTGTGCTAAGGACGCAGAGCCTTTATTCTTTTTCTTTCTTTTTTTTTTTTTTGAGATGGATTCTCACTTGTCACACTAGGTAGAGTGCCTTGGTGTCATAGCTCACAGCAACTTCAAACTCCTGGGCTCTAGCAATTCTCTTGACCTAGCCTCCCCAAGTAGCTGGGACTACAGGCACCTGCCACAATGCCTGGCTATTTTTCGGTTGCAGCCATCAATTAGGTATTAGACAAAATAAGTGTGTATATTCACATGTACATACGTTTGTTTATGTATGTTATGTATATATTTGGAGATGTACAACGGTAACTGTTGACCAGAACATTTGAACATACCCGATAGTGATAATTTGTTTTCCTTTTTATTTCTTTGTCAGTTTGTTGCATAGGTTTATCAATTTTTTTTTTTGAGGCAGTCTAACTGTGTAGCCCTCAGTAGAGTACTGTGGCATCACAGCTCACAGCAACTTCAAACTCTTTGGCTTAAGCAGTTCTTCTCGCCTCAGCCTCCCAAGTAGCTGAGACTACAGGCACCCACCACCTTGCCCAGATATTTTTTTGTTGCAGTTGTTTAGTTGGCCTGGCTCGGTTCGAACCGGCCAGCCTCAGTGCATGTTGCTGGTGCTATAACCACTGAGCTATGGGTGCTGAGCCGAGGTTTATCAATTTTTAAAACCTTTTTTAAAAACCAGTGTTTGGTTTCCTTGA